CTCTCTCTCTCTCTCGGTGATGTGTGAGGTGGGTTTTGTTTTGTTCCTAATGCAGTATGGTCTCCTTTTCTCTTCCTGTTACTTAAAACCGAGAATAGTTAGAGGATAGCCTGTACAACAGCAAACATGGACGAGGACTACGACGACTACGACGAGTACAACGACGCCGCAGATGACTGGGAGGCGGAAGCAGCGGAGGAAGAGGCACGCGAGAAAGAGATCCTCGAGCAAAAGGCTCTCATTGAGGAGCAAAAAATACAGAAACGTGTCAAGGCGCCCGCACGTGTAAAGAAGGAAGAGGAGGACGAAGAGACGCTCGCTAGCGACATTGCTCAGGCTCTCATTGAGATGAAAGAGATGGCAAACAGTGTGGATGAAGCAAGACGCCTGATGGGAACAAAGGATGACAGTGATGAGAAACGCATTGCCGACATGCCCGCCAACACTGCGGAAGAGGCGGCAGCTCTGGGTGAGGCCATTGCTGCCCGTGTAGGGCAGTTCGCCCTTTCGCCGCACTTCAATGCGATGATTGGTGTTATCTTTCAGGACCTTGCACAAGAGTTCCAGTCGCGCACTGTCATGAACACAGAGGCGTCCAAGGTGCACGTGGCCAGCGAGGAGATGAAGCGGCGCCTCAAGAAGGCCAAGAGGAAGAAGGGGGCACACAACAACGACGCCACAACTGCAACCGCCGCCGCCGCCGGGCAGGAGGAAGAGGAAGAAGCGGAGGAGAAGGGCGCACATGATGCATTGGGCTTCGATGCTGTCACCGACAAGGGCGGTGCTGCGTGCATCATGGAAGGTGAGGATGACTTCATGTGAGCGTGTGTGTCGTTGACGTGCTAAGAGCCGGTGACCGGCGTTTAAACGCTGCCCGTCCGCGTAACAGATGCAGTCATGCGCACCTATTTTATTCCTGTGTGGGGCCCGGCGCTCGATAAGCGAACGATACTACCAGCACAAGTAGAGAAGATTAAAAACGATTGAATTCCTTTGCTCTCTTCCCTTTTTTTTCTTTCTTTTTTTTTGCATTGTCGACTGCTCCATTGCCGGACGAAGGTCTATAATTCGACCCCAATGGATGCTGCTGCATTCACGACGTCATTCGACGCGATTGTGTCACTGAGCAATACGGAGGGGCCGCGGCAGAATGTCCTCGAGCCCAAGTTTGTGGCGAGGGAGCAGATGCAGGCGTTAAGGGAGTCCGTGACGAATGCATACAAGGATGCAGCCTCTCTGCAAGCGCTGGGTCAGCTTTGCCGCTGCTACGTCTTCATTGGTCTCAATATGCTGGAGACGGACGAGGAGGCGGACGGCGTGGTGGAGCTACGCAAGGCGTACACTATGACGCTGGCGGGTGCAAAGGGGCAACTTCTCGGCAGCGTTATTGATATTGCAGCGCACCCGTTGGAAGAGATAATCAGGAATGAGCTACCGTACGTTGATGCTGAGCACGATTACATCTTTGTTGCAGAGTTTATGCGTGTGCACAACGCATTGGGCCTGTACATGTCTAACCGTGACACAGCATTGCGGATCAACGACGCCAAGCAGGTTCTTCACCTTGCCGAGAAGGCGTATAAAGAGTGGAATTGCTGGTTCCTCTCACGCCCTGGCAGTTGTGTCATGAAGGATATTCCTGTTCTTGACGATGGCACTCTTGATCGGGCCAACATTCCCCCTGAAGGGCTGTCAATGTACACCCTGCGGTTTGAAATGGATACCGCGTTTACGTCAACGCTGTTTTTCCTGGCACAGGTCTACACCGCGTGTCAGATGACGGCACTGGCCTCGCGCTATTGCCACCATACATTGTATTACCAACTGCTCAACAAGATGGAGTTCTCAAAAAAGGATTGGGCCACCAACGCGTTGCATCTCAGTGCGTTTTATAGCAGTCACTTTGACTACGGCAAGGCGTTGCACTGTCTTCAGGCCGGTGAGAGCATGATGCCAAAGGAAAAAGCAGACGAGGAGACTCTGGGCATCGTAGCCTGGGCGCATGGAAAGTTTTACCTTCACCGACTGCATCACTATGCGGAGGTGCGGCAGCGGAGTGCACCACGTGGACCGCTTCCAGATGAGTTCGAGTCATGGTGGGTTGACTTTCCACTCGACATTTCGCCGCCGCAGCAGCTCCCGGCGATTGAGACCTTTGAACAGGCCCGCGATTGTTTCAAGGAAGCCAACAACAGGTTTAACGAGGCGCTCAAGTATTACCTGTATGATGGAAGCTGCACAGAACACATTGAGATTACACAGGACATGGCGCGCCTATACGCGGCGCTCACTCACTTTGAGGAGAATCGTAACCGCGTCATCTCCATGCACCAGCGCCGCGTCGCTCTCATTGAGGCCTTCCCAGATGATCTGAACTTTAATGCGTACCCCACATTAGTCCGCCAGCTGCTCTTTGATCTCGGTGCGATGCATGAGGAGATTCTTGAACTTCGCATCCGGCAGAAGGAAGAACCCCGCGAAGACGAGGCACCACTTTCAGACAAGAAAATGAATGCCCTCACTGACAAGACGCAGTCAATGTATCGACGCTTCTGCGATACCTGGAAGGACCCACGGACGGGTCAGTTCCCCGAGAAGCTTGAAGAGGAGTCGAGGTTGCCTTTCTTCCGTGCGCTGATGCGATTGGCACAGCTCCAGCCGAAGCGGTACTTCAAGGATCCGAAGGGGGAATATGAGAACATCTCAACCACCATTACGATGTTTCAGCAGGCCATTGACTTCGCTTCAAGAAACCCGATGGGAAAAGAGGCGGATGTAGAGGTTAGTCTGTCGCGTGAGATGGTGGCCCTTCTCCCCATGAAGCAAAGGGACTTGTGGATGGCGTACCACAAGGCCACATGATGTGTGTGGCTTCTCACGAGGATGGGATTTCGGCTTTTTCTGCTGGTGCTATATTTGTTTTCTATCATTATTCACTGTTATTAAGAGAGATGCTTCTGATTTCAAAGAGAACGAGTCCGTGTGTACGTTCTGTCCACTGCGTTTGCCGAGCCCGGAGGGCTACAAATGTCTGTTTGTCGTCCTCTCTTCTACTATGGGTTTTTTCCCTTGATTCATTATTATTGTTATTATCATTTAAACGATAAATAAGGCCGAAGGTTGCAACGGCGACGGTCAGTTTGGAACACTGTGTTGAGTCCATGTCGAGCATCAGCCACACTATGAAGCGGTTGCAGAACGTCAACGGGGCCAGTGGCTGTAGCACGGCAGCGAGTGCGCCGCAGCTGCCGCTGCACGAAGGGGAGGAGATGCAGCTGCGCAGCAAAATGACACCCTACGAAGAGTGCCAGCTTCGAGTTGCTGACCGCATGCGGCGCATACGGGAGTTGGTGACGCAACTCGACGCATTGCCCACAAGAGCGAGTCGGACGGATCGTGTTGAGCTCTGCCAACAGATTCGCAGAGAGGAGCGTCAGGTAAAGGTTGATGTGCAGGACGCGAGGAAGTTGGCACTTAGTGAGAGTCGGCAGCGGGAGTTTGAGATTCTGTCACATCATTTCAAGGGCACACTTGAATTGGTGCGCAACCGCTACGGTGGGGGTCTTCCTCTTGCTGAGGCAGGCGACACCGCCGCTGGGGGTGCTTCATCCGTCTTTGCGGATTTAGACAACGCGGTCAGTCAAAGTGGGGCCCTGGCGGCGGAGGCGGATAAAATGGTACCCGGCCCAGAGCACAGTTACAACATACACAACGATGTGGAGTTCACTCAATTCTTTCTGAACACACATAAAAATGATATGGTGATTGATGAGGCACTTGATCGCATCTATAGTGGCGTCCAGCGAGTCAACGACAATGCGACGCAGATAACGTTCGAGCTCCGGATGCAGGAGCAGAAACTCGATGGTAGTGAGAAAAAAATGAACACTGTTCATTCCAAGTTGGGCAGGCTAAATGCGAGATTGAAGAAGGCAATTAAAGACGTAGGTCGTTCTATGCTGATTGTGTATTTTTTATGCTGCTTGATATTGCTGATTATCATTGTTGTCATTTACGTTATGGCTAAGCGATAAGGTGTGAGTTACTGCATGCATGTGGGTAGTGTGTTCCTGTACATTCTCTTGCATTGCTTTTGATGACGCTGTTTTATTATTATTATTATTATTTTTTTTTCGTACCCCGTTGCATTTTATTAGCTGCTGGTGCGTTCCGGCACGCTGTCAATTGAGGTATCCTTCAACTTGGGCTTACCTTTTCTTTCTTGACTCTCTCTGTCTGTGTGTATGCGGCGTAGGACAAGGGGAAACGGCGAGCAGAACGGCAATGTCCGAAATGCTTGAGGAGGACTTTACAAAGGCAGCAGCTTTTGTTCGGAATGGAAACCACATTGATGCAATTGGGGCCTACTCCAAAATAGCCACTGATCCTCGCGCCACGACAGCGCAAAAAGTGCGGGCTTACTCCAACGTGAGCGCCTGCCACGCCGCTAGGGACCAGTTCGCCGACGCCCTTGATGCTGCGAAAAAGGCACTGCAACTGGACGAGAATAATAGCAAAGTGCACGGGCGGGTGGCGACAGCGTACCATGGGCTGAAGCACTACGAGGAGGCGGCTCGACACTACGAGCGGGCGCACGCCTTGGATCCAACGAGCTCCCTCTACTGTGAACAGCGCCAGGCCGTCCTGGATCTCATACGCAGCAGGAAAGGCGTTGCCACTCAAGAGACAAAGGATGCGTACTACTATCGCAAGGGAATTGAACAGGGAAAGGAATCCATGGGGAAAGGGGAGTACCTAAGCGCTGTGCGGTACTTCTCGAAGGCCATTGAGCTACATACACGTTGTGCTGGGAATGAGGAGAATGGCAGTGGTAGCAAGTCAGTGGATTACGCCGTTCTACTGTGCAACCGAAGTGCGGCCTACAGCCGGGCGGGCCGCTACGCGGAGTCGCTGGAAGACGCCATGAAGGCAACGGAGGTGCATCCCACCTACGCCAGGGCGTTTTTCCGCATTGCTCATGCACAGCATCAGCTGAAACACCCCCGCGAGGCGTACGCCGCACTGTGTCGCTGCCTTGAGTTGGACCACGCCCACGCGGAGGCCAAGACTCTTATGTTGGAGGTGGAACAGATTGTGGCGGAGCTGCAGAAGACATCAGAGGAAAAACAACGCGATCGTGAGGAACAAGTGAGAGAGATTCGTGAAATGCAGAACGCAGAGCGGGTTACCGACAATGCCCCAGTGAGTGGTGGTTTTCGCGGTCGCGCACACGCGACGTCTTACATGCATTGCAGCTACTGCAACGAGGCTGGGCACGCGCGCGCCGAGTGTCCTCTCCTTCGGCGTAAGCGTTCACGCACATCATAATTCTTCCCTACAATGAGAGAAGTGTTGCTGCTTCAGTGTTTGTACAATTAATGCCGTGTATGGTGGGGGAGATCAAGGAAGGAAGGGAGCAGCGCGGTGACACCGAAGAAGCTGGCCGTTGTAGCCCACACGACAAAGTGCGAGGTGGACAAATTATAACCAACCAGTTTACCAATTGCACCACTGCTGTTGCTGTTGCTGTTGCTGCTGTTTCTGCTCCGCTTGCTCCCAGCCCCGTCGGCCGTTACATCTTCTTCAGAAACCGCAGCAGCAATGGAAGGGTCAACGCCACACCGGCGTGAAGAGAAACCGCAGTGCGAGATGGAAGGTACACGCAGTGCCGAACTGCGCGCATTGGCAAGGATACTGTTTGATCGCCTGCAGCCGCACCGCTCCAACCCATCTCTTGAGGTGGAGGTGCGCTTGTGCCGGTTTGAGAAAAAGCGAGATTCCCACGTGAACAGCAGCAGCAGCAGCACTGCACAGGGTGGTTTGCGGTTTGTTGAGGCGAAGGTTACGCCTGGCGTCTCCGCGGAGGATTACGAACGTATCAGGGCGCACTGGGCATCCAATGAAACAGGCCGCGCTGTTTCGCACTCCACCACGCGTGACGTCGTTAAAAATGGTTGGCGCTACACGTACACGACCGACGAGCCCACCCACTGCATCGCCTGCGTGCAGAAGAAACGTTTGTTTGTCAGCGACATTCTGGTGCCACCCGGCGCATACAACCTTCGCTTCTCGGCGTCGATCGAAACGTGTGGACCACTTCCGGCTGCGGGTGACCCCCCAAAGGTGGGTTTCACGCGTGTGAAGGAACGACATGGCGTCACCGACGGCTTATTTCGCTACGACATGACGAATGTGACGACGAATGGGACGGTGGTGCACGAGGTGGAGATTGAGGGGGTCTTCACGGAGTGTGAGGTGCAGCTAACGGAGGCGTGGCTGGAGGAGCTTCTTTCTAGGGCCGTTGCGGTCGCAACGTTACCGAAGAAAAGCGAAAGTCGCAGCAGTGGATACGGGAGAGGCATTAGAAAAAGGTGTAGAGAGTCGGAGACTATGATGTCGAACTAAAACCGCTGTCTTTTTTTATTTGTTTGCTTTGTTGGCCGTGCTATGCTGCGTATTCGGAGCTAATATAAGGAACCGCTCTGCACCCCAGCGTCGGTATGTGGGTGAGTGAGTGAATGAGTGGGAGCGGTAAAGAGGATTGCGGCTGTCTGGTGCTATGTTGTCTTGTGTTGGGCTATTCTTTGTTGTTGTTTTTTATTGCCCTTTTTCCTTCCTCTTGGTTTTTTTTGTCATCCTTTCCCCCAGCCTCAGGAATGATGCGGAAGACGCCTGTATACGCTCTGGCCGCAACGCGCAAGGCGCTCGTCGGCAACGGCCCCACCTTCTCGACGGGTGGCGAGTGCATGAACACATGCGACATCCAGAATGCATTCCCAATGAACGAGCGCGGCATTCGCTCCTCGTCGCCGTTCCAGGAGCCCAACACTGCCATCTACGACACATACCTCTCGTGGACGTACTTTCAGCCGATCGACGTGGATATTGAGAAGCTGCCGGCCCCAGAGGCGAAGTACTACCAGCGGCACACAAAGAAGCCATGGGACATCTCCACAACGGAGCTTATTGAGATCCAGTCGCGCAAGAAGTACTTCCAGGTCTGGGGCTACCTCGTCGCCTTCATCTACCTGTACTTCCTGATGCCCAAGGAGAAGTCGTTCAGTGGTCTGCACGGGCCTGACGGGCACTGGGTCATGCTGCCGAAGGCTAGGCCGGAGTTGTTTTAGGCGCCGTTGTTGGTATTAGCATGTAGGAGTGGAAAGTGGTACCCCCAAAAACAAAACAAAAAACAAACCCCAAAGAAAACAGGACAAAACAAAGAATACTCATGCATCTCAGTTGCCCAAACGCATGCCTTTCGAAGGAGTGTGTGGAGGGAGTTGCAAAAGGAAGTATTATAGGAAGGTTGTGTGATTATAGCGTCGACACGACGAAAGAAAAGAATACAGTGGGAGAGGCGAGGCAATGCGATGCTTTGACGCAGCTAGAAATGAAACGCTACAGTGGCATTGTTCTCTGTGTTTCCTATTCCTTATTATTTGTGCAATGTATTTTTCGTTTCGTTTTTGCTTTCTTCTTTGGATGGTTACAAGTACATTGGAGGCCGCCACAAAAAAATAAAGAGTAAGAGGCATCGCGAGAGGAGGAAGTGGCCAACGCCATCGGCACAGTTTACATCGTTTTTGATTGTCACATTAACACCAGGAATGAGTCTCGAGACCACCGCGTACCTGCAGCGCCTCAGCGAGAAGCCGGAGCGCACTCGCAACTTCTGCATGGTAGCGCATGTGGATCATGGCAAGACAACAATGAGCGACTACCTTGTCGCAAGTAACGGCATCCTTTCACCACAGCTTGCCGGCGAGGTTCGCCTGCTTGACTCCCGCCCTGACGAACAGGAGCGGTGTATCACGATGAAGGCTAGTTCCATTGCGTTGCGCCACATACACAACGGATCGGAGCACCTATTAAATCTTGTGGACTCCCCTGGGCACATTGATTTTTCGTGCGAAGTCTCCACGGCGATGCGGCTGTGCGATGGCGCCGTCGTCATTGTTGATGTGGTGGATGGCGTCACGCAGCAGACGAGTGGCATTCTGCGGCACGCGTATCGTGAGGGTCTTTCCATGTGTCTTGTGCTCAACAAGGTAGATCTGCTCATCGCCGTCCAGCAGCTGACACCGGAGGAGGCGTATTATCGCATGCGCTCCATTATTGAAACATGCAACGCCGCTCTTGCCGGCTTCGCTAATCAGCTCAGGATTCAGGAGGACGAGTGCGTCGCGCTGCAAGATCGTGGTGACCCCAGCGACGACGTGTGGTTTTGCCCAACGAAGGGTAACGTGCTCTTTTGCAGCTGCTACGACGGTTGGGCCTTCGGTACTGCCTTTTTTGCCCAGCTCTACGAGAGCCGGCTTGGCATTCCCCACCTGCAGGCGTGTCTGTGGGGCGACCACTACCTTGACGCCAAGACAAAGACAGTCCACACAACCCCGCGACGGGCGGGACAGCAGCCATTGGCAGTGCAGCTAATGTTGGAACCTGTTTGGAAGTTGTACTCAACCTTTATTGAGGAGAACGATAACAAGGAGCAGCAGCTTAATATGGCTGCAAAGCTAGGCGTTCCGGAAAAGGTGTGGAATAATCCCCGACGTGACGACAGAGGAAAGCTAAAGGCGCTGTTGTCGGCGTGGCTTCCGCTCGCCAAGTGTGTACTTAGCACTATAATCGAAAAGCTTGACTCTCCCGTCGTGGCGCAGCAGCGTCGTCTGCGGTACCTTATTCCACGCCTGGATGACGCGCCAGCTGCTGCGCGTGAGGCGTTGATGGCGTGCTCATCGGCCCCAGACGCCCCATGTATTGTGTACGTATGCAAGCTCATCGACACTCAGTTTCTTGTGGGCACAACCATTGGGCAGGAGGGTTGTAGCGATGATGCGTTTATTGGCTTTGCCCGTGTTTACAGTGGCCGCCTTCAACCTGGTCAGACGGTGTACGTTCACTCTGAAGACAAGATTGTGGAGGCGGCAGTGCGCAAGGTGTTTCTCTTCCGCGGCACGGGCTTAGACGAGGCGGCGGAAGTGTGCAGTGGAACGCTCTGCGGCATTGGTGGCCTCACACCATACATCAACAAGTACGCCACTCTTTCCTCGCTGGAGGGAGTACCGCCGTTCCAGCCGCTTGTGTTGCCGAGCACGTCAATTGTGCGTGCGTCTGTATTTCCAAAGGATCCGAAGGACCTCTTTCCGCTGGTGCAGGGGCTGCGGCTGCTGTACAAGGTGGACCCGCAGGTGGAGGTAAGCATCCTCCCCACCGGCGAGCACGTGATCGGAACTGCCGGTGAAGTTCACTTGGAGCGCTGCCTGAGGGACCTCATTGACACCTTCGCCCGCGTGGAGGTGGTAGCGTCTGAACCACTTGTGTCGTTCCGTGAAACGATTGTGGCAGCGGGTGCCAACGCGAAGCCAAAGCTGCACACCGCCTCCACACTGGATGGTGCATTTTCTATCACACTTCACGCCCGCTGCCTCCCGCCGGAGGTGTACGAAGTGCTGAAGGTTGACAACAGGAATCACGGATCCAATACACAGGTGTGCCGGCAGGTGGAGACGGCTCTAAGGGTGAACAAACGTTGGGCGGCAGAGATGCAGCATAGCATCGTTGCCTGTGGCCCTACAAAGCTCGGGTTCCTTGGTGTGGTGCTTCTGCTACACTTTGGCGATGAGGCTACTGCGTCCGAGAAGGTGCAACTCTTTAACAGTTGGAAGGACTCCATCACGGCCGGCTTCCAGGCTGCCGCGGAGAGTGGCCCGATGGCGCAGGAGCCGCTGTTCAACACGGCGTTTGTCATAACAGACCTCGTCATTGACACCTCCACCGGCTTAACGGGTGGAATGGTGTTGCCATGCGTTCGCGATGCCTGTCGTGCGGCGATGGAGCTCCACCCGCGGCGTCTTGTGGAGCCTGTGTATGAGTGCACCGTCTACGCTTCCGGTGCGACACAGGGGAGGATCTATAGCTCCCTCAGTCGCCGCCGCTCGGAGATCATCGAGGAGGTGCCAAATGAGGGCAGTGACCTCTTCTACATTCGTTGTTTCCTGCCAGCCGTTGAGGCGTTTGGGTTGCAAGATGAGTTGCGCGTGGCAACGCAAGGCGCATCAACGGCACAGCTGCAGATGAGCCACTGGAGTGTGGTGGACGCTGATCCGTACTTTGCTCCAACGACGAAGGAGGAGATTGAGGAGCACGGCACAGAGATGGCGACGAAAAACATCGCGGAGCAGCTGCTCGAGCGTATTCGTCGCCGCAAGGGTCTTCACCGTGAGCGGGTTGTGGAGAGCGCGGAAAAACAGAAGTTCTCTCTCAAGGGGGCGTAGCCGTTTCTTGTAATTCCGAGTCGTAACGAGTCGCATAAACCGCGAAGAAAAAAAAAGAAAAAGAAAACAGCGAACAACAAGAGAGATCAGGACAACAACTTCGAGACGAAGAGAAACGACGAGAGAGAGGATGAGAGAAAAAGAGAGAGAACAAAAAAAAAAAGAAGAAACACATGCAGTCTTAAATGAGAGCCGTCGCTCCTTCTGTGGCCCCATCGGTGGGGGATGTGTTGGGCTCAGTGCAATGCACTCCTTGCCACTGTCTTGTTGAAGGGTCGTAATGGTAGAGCCCGTGCGAGTCTATGTTGGCCCGGCCGCCGCGTTCAAGGAGAAGAGCCGTCAATTGGTGAAGTGCGGTGAACGCAATATCGCGGTGTACCGCTACAAGGATCAGTTTTTTGCGCTGGACAACGCCTGTTACCATCACGGTGGACCGCTGGTGGAGGGAGACATTGAAGAAATGGGCGGACACCCGTGCGTGGTGTGCCCATGGCACGAATACCGCATCACCCTCGACACCGGCGAGGGCCTCTACTGGGCGCTGCAGCTGACACCGGCGGGTCTCCCCGACAAGAGCGCTCCACAGACGGTACGCTCCAAGGGGCGGAAGCAGCGCACGCACATCGTCACTGTTGAGGACGGTGGGGTGTTTGTGACGGTAGATACGGATGGTCCGCGTGTGGACAGTGACACCTACGCCGAAATGGCCATCGCCAATCAGGAGTACGGAATGACGGTACCAGTGGCGGAAGGCGGGCGCGCCAAAGGCTTCCACAGCGGCATGCGAAGCGGGCACGTTTTGGCTGGGCTAGCCTCGTCTACAAAAGAAAACAAGCTACGACCAGAGTGCTTGGGGGGACAACTGGTTGTAATGTGCGTAAAAGTAGAGCATGTCTGTACCGGGGCAAAGGAGTTCTTCTTCAATCTCTGTCAAGGGCAGCTGGGCAGCCCGCCTCTGCCAGGGCAGTTCGTTGATCTACAGTTGCCCATTGCAGCTCCTGCCGGCAAGCGGTTCGTGAGGCGGTGGACGATTTTTGAGACGAACAAGGATGGATGTCTCTTCACCATTGTTGTAAAGGCAGCAGCTAACAGCCGTGGCGGTAGTGCATGGATACACAACAACGCGCTGCTTCAGCGTTTTCCACTTCTCTTGTTGAGTGGGTGCTTCACTCTAGTTCACCACATGGATCGTCTGCGTGAAGTGGCAGGTCGAGTTGTTGTTCTTTCTGCTGGCATCGGTGTGACGGCACCTCATGGCTCGCTTCGCCACTACATTGAGGGCAAATGGGAGAAGGAGAATCCACAGCTGCATGTTCTGCACCTGCACGTTGAGCGTACAGTGTCTTCCGTGGCAAGGGTTGAGGATTATTTGCGGTGGCACTATGCCAATGCTGCCCACTTCACATACCGCTTTCACTGCTACCTCACACAGGAACCGCCCGACAGTGTCGTGGAAGATGTGTCGTTGCAGCCGCTTATAACGTGCGGCCGGCGACCAACGGCGGAGGACATCACGAGTTTTGTAAGCGATTTTGTGAAATCCGCACCCGTTTTGGCGTTTGTGTGTGGGCCGCCGGAATTCATTAACATGGGGAAGTGCATCCTCGGCTCCTTGGGTGTTGCAGCGTCGGATATGCTGACAGATGAGGATGACAGCGTGGAGGTGTGAGGGAGGAGCAGGCAGCACACTGTGCATGTTGATGCCTTTTTGTTTTTCTCCTCAGCGAAGCGATTCCTCCTCCCCTTTGTTTCCTTCCATGATGGCGTCCCTCATAAGTCGACAGATACATATTTCCACACAGGTTCATGTGAGCAATTGCGTACCCGCGTGCGTGGGTGTGCATTTCCCGATCCTGTTTGTCCCATCTGTTCTTGTTGTTGTTGTTGTTGTTATTTTTGCTTGTCTTTAATTGATTAAATAAAACAATCGGCTAGTCGTTCCTGATTCTTTTTGATTCTCATTTGTCATGTGTTTCCTTTTTTTGTTGTTGTTTTGGTTTTTGCCTTGTTGCTTCCCCTTGTGCTTGCGAAAGGTTGTGTCGGACATCGTGCGGGTAGCTATGGGCGGGCGGCAGAGCACACCCGTCCCGGTGGAGGTCCAGCGGGCAGCGGCGAACGACACCAGCAATTGGGGCGCGCCGCCGGTGGATATCCCCGAGGACGAGAGGGACCCCGAGGAGCTCGTGCTTCAGACGTGGGCGTACTGCAAGGCGAAGCCAACCCCCGCGCAGAACTATCGTAGCGACGTGGAGGAGCGCAAGCGGCGCCAGTCAGTGGCGTGGCGCAAACGCGCGAGTTTCATTGAGCTCGACTGCGGTGAGGACAGCTTCTTTGTGTCCAACACGTACAAAGTCATCGGCGTGGCGGACGGTGTGGGCGGGTGGCGCGATGAGGGTGTGGACCCCGCGCTATTCGCAAACTCATTGATGGAGAACGCAAAGCTCTTCTCCGAGACACACCGCAATGAATTGAACCCCGAGCTCATCATGCAGTCGGCATTCGACAAGGTGTTGAACGACAAGAAGGTGAAGGCAGGCAGCAGCACCGCGTGCGTGGCGTCGCTGCGCAAGAATGAGGCAGGCAAGCTTTTACTCGACGTTGCCAATGTGGGCGACAGCGGCCTCCTCGTGGTGCGGAACCGCCGCGTGCTGCACCGCATCCACGAGAAGGTGCACGGCTTCAACGCCCCGTTCCAGCTGGCGGTGCTGCCGCCGCACCTGCGCGGCCGTGCCTTCTCTGACCAAGTGAGCGACGCCACGAGGGAGTCGGTTGAGGTGCAGAAGGGGGACGTCGTGATCGCCGCCAGCGACGGGCTATTCGACAACAGCTTCAACGCCACCCTCGCCTCCGACGCCGGGTGGATCGGGCGGGTGGATGGCAGTGTGTTCGAGCGCGTCCCGCTTGTCGGCTTCGTGCTGAGCGCCGTCTTCGCTGACGAGAAGGTCGCGTACGTCGACCCACAGCGGGTGGCGCAGCGTATCGTGCAGGACGCGTACAAGGTGTCGCTCGACCACGAGGCGCACACACCGTGGTCGGCGATGCTGCGCAAGTTCGGCGCGACAGATGCCAAGGGCGGGAAGACGGACGACATCACCATTGTGCTGAGCCGCGTCACGACACGCGAGGAGCTCAACGCCAGCGGTGCGTGGTAGAAGGCAGCAGCTTTGGTTGGGACGCACATGCACACAGAGGTGCCTGTGATGATCTGTTCGTGAGCGGAAGAAAGAGAGAGGACGAGGGAGAGAGAGAGAGAGAGAGGAAGAGGGAGAGGGAGAGAGAAACATCATTTTAGGACCAAAAGTATTGGAGACACCAGCGCGGGCGCCTTAACCGATACATTTCACAACCATGTTTGGGGTTTTCTCGGCTGGCTGTCGTTGCCCCTCACTGTTTCACTGCGTCGTGCTTTTCGTTCTTTGTAGGCTCTCATGTGCTGCGACTTGCCCAACCGTTTTTAATTATCCCCCCCCCCCTTTATTCTACGTCTCTTTTATTATTATTCCTCTTGCCTCCCATCACTGGCGTTTCGCTGATATGATGTGCGGCGCTGCAGTGTCTTCAGAGGGCTGCGGGGTAACGACCGCGCAGCGATGAATCTCGACAACCCATTCGCAGCGTTCTTCAGGAAGAGGACGACCACTGTCTCTTCGTCGTCTGTGACTGCCGCTTCTGTGGGCTTTAAGCGTCTTCGCCCTGACGAGGATGCATTGCTGACTTCGCCGGCCTCCTCTCCTTCAGCAGTCGCCCCGGGGGCGAGCACAAGAGCCGCAACAACAGACGCCGCCGCCAACAACGCCTCGCCGAACGGGGCGGAGCACGGCGGCGCGGGAGATGCCTTCCCCACTGCCTCCGCGTCCTCTTCCAGCCCGGTGAAAGTCATGCTGCTGCCGGACGACGGGGATGAAGAGGAGGAGGAGCTGCGCTTGCTGCTCGGCAACACCAATAAGGTCTTCGTGCGGCCGCAGGCGGCGAGAACAACAACAACAACAGCGACAGCAGTGGAAGGGACGGCACCTGCGACACGAAAAAACACGGCGACTGAACGGGAGGGACCCAACGCGGCATCTCGCGTTAACACGGCGGTGGCGGTGGGAGAGTTGCCGTGGGCGACGCGCTCCAACGATGTGCGTGAGGAGATCGCCGGTCGCTTTGAGGCCCAGTTCAAATGGGAGCTGAGGCACAACTCGGAGTTGTTGCGTGTGTTTGGGCCGTTTTTCAGTGACCGTGCGCTCAGTCGTATCGACGCTGATGTACAGGGGCCGCAGTTCCTCGCCGCTCCCACTGTAACAGTGGAGAACACGGCCGCCGCTGGTGGCTACACGCTGCGCTCCTACCAGCTGGAGGGCGTGCAGTTCCTTCTAAAAAGCTTTCACAGTGGGATTCCGTGCATCTTGGCGGATGACATGGGCCTCGGAAAGACAGCACAGATTGCGTCATTTCTTAACATGCTTAAGACACAACACACCATTGACGGTCCGCACTTGGTAGTGGCACCGCTGTCGACACTGACGAGTTGGACGCGAGAACTCGCCCGGTGGGCGCCAACGCTGCGTGTGGTGAAGTACCACGGGGAGCGGAAGGGGCGGGCCGCGCTGCGCACTGCTCACAGCAACCGTCACGGAGTCTTTGTGACAACGCCGTCGGTGCTCAATCAGGACCGTGGCTTCTTCCGTAAGCGGACGTGGGTGGTCGCAGTGGTTGACGAGGCACACGTGTTGAAAGGGCGCAGCACGATGATCTCGTACGTGGCGCGAAAGCTCACAGCGTGTTTTCGCCTCGCTGTGACAGGTACACCTGTTCACAACAATGTTGGTGAGGTTTGGAGTTTGGTGAGCTTTCTCTATCCGTCCTATTGCGCTTCCTATGACAACAGCAACGCTAACGACCCTGTCGGGGCAGCCGAAGACTGTGCGAGGTTGCTCCAGCACATTATGCTGCGTCGAACAAAAGGGTCAATCGAGTTGGGCATTCCACCACGTGTAGACGAGCCGACTATCATGCTTGGCCCTACAAGCGTCCAGCAGCGGCTGCTCACGCGCATGACGGAGCAAGTCTTGAGAGAAGAGGGCACCACCAACACGCATCTCCAACTTCACCTGACACATCAACGCATTGTGTGCAACCATCCAATGGCGCTACGCCTGTTGGCAACAGAGGGGCGTAACTCTGGCGTGGATGGATGGGAGGAGCGCCTAGCCGCAGCAGGCATCGCGTTGGATGAGGCCTCCATCATTGCACCAAGTGCCAAGATGATAGAGCTAGATCGTATGCTAAGAAGACTCAAAGAGGAGGGACACCGATGCCTGATTTTCTCTAATTTCACTTCTGTCTTGGATCTCCTGCAGGCGCAGTGTGTGCTGCGGGGCTACAGCTTCGAGCGGTTGGATGGTTCCACCCAGCGTGTGGAGCGGGAACTCGCTATGATTCGCTTCAACGCCCCGGATTCGAACTGCTTTGTCTTTCTCCTCACAACAACCGCTGGTGGTGTAGGTGTGACGCTTACAGGCGCTGACACCGTGATTCTCTTCGATGCCCACTACAATCCACAGATTGATCGTCAGGCTGCGGACCGCGCGCACCGCATCGGTCAGACACGTGTTGTGCGAGTCTACCGTCTGTGTCTTAGCAACACCCTCGAGGAACGTATTCTTAATGTGGCCCTGCGAAAGGCGTCGCTTGGTGATTTCATTGTGGACGGTGGTAGTGGGAAGGGCGATAACGCGTCAAGCATATCACTCTCTGCTGATCGTATCCGTCAACTGTTTGAGGAAGGTGCCAAAACTACCAGCAACAGCAGCAATACCATCAGCACGGGCACTGCCGCCTGTGATGAATGCCAACATGATGATGTGGTGTCCGTTGACCGCGACACCACGGCGGAGGACGCCATGGTGGAGGACTTACTGTGCGTGGAGATGCACGGACTGCCGAGGCCCCGGGCGTTGCAGCAGGAAAGCCGGTCCGTGCGGCCCACAGTCGGTGTCACGCACAACTGTTTCGTGTGTGGCCATATCATGCGGCCGCTGGAGCCGTTGTACCATTGCGCAGTGTGTCCCAAGGCATACCACGCCGACTGCGTAGGAGAACGGAAGCTGCAGGCCGGTGTGGCCGGGCCACGACAGTGGACGTGCCCCCGCCACAGCTGCGCGTCGTGTGGGAAGGCGCAAGCGGTCGACGGGGCGGTGTTCATGTGCAGTGAGTGCCCCCTTGCATTTTGCTTCGACTGCCTCGACCCGCGCTACTTTGATCTGGACGATAGCAAGACATCCTTTGTTCACATCCGTCGCTCATACCCTGGTATGGAGGCGGAGGAAATGGGTGTGCGGCGCTCTGTCTATTACATCACGTGCCTCCGCTGCAATGGAGTGTTGTCATCATCTTCATCCTCATCTTATGGCTCAGAAAGCGATGCAACAAGTGACGATGGTAGTGGTAGCCTTGAGGATACGGGGGATGATCTCATATAACAATATAATGCCATAGAGTTACTCACGGCGGCGGCTTTTAGTGTCCTACCTCCCCTTCCACTACAGAATATCTTTGGAGGGTGGAGGGGGGATGGTTTTTGGGTGCCGCTTCCTTATTCTTGATATATTTATATACTTCCCTCCTCAAACACTGACACCTCACTCAGTGCAACCCCCTCCCGCAGATTTCTTTGTTTCTTGTATGTGCTTGAGTGCTGTCTCCCACAGATTCACATGTACACTTCGTTATTTCACTTCTTTTCTTTTCTTTTCTTTTTTCTTTTTGGATTATTGTCTGTGTTTGCTTGGATTTTCGCGGAAAGGAATAATGCACCAGGTTCGTGGGCTCGTGCGCCGATCATCCGCTCCAGCACTGCGTCTGCTGGAGAAGCGTATCGTGCCACACGATGTGACCACCTGCTTCGTGGGGGCTGCCTTTGTGGATGGCGAGGGTGTGCGCGCTGGTGTTCAACTACTCCATCCCTCCGCGCTGCTGCAGTTGTTGGAGGACATGCCCAAGTCGGAAGCCCTCCTCAGTGTGCGGGAGGCAAAGAAGGCGGTGTTGGCGTCAGGGGACGCTGCGCCACCTCATGCCGCACTGCGCGCAACTAGCTCCTCGCTATGCGTCAAGTACACCACCCCGTACACCATTGCAGAGCTGCGCCGCCGCCAGTTGCGATTCCTCGCAAAGACGGAGGGCCGGCTGATGGCGCACGACCTCCCCGTCGTGGAAGCCTTCACACAGGGTTTACTGGCAAGAACTAATTCGGGGCAGCAGCAGCACCAGCAGCAAAAAGGAGAACCACAACATGAGGCTTTTCACCCCGAGGAAGTTGTGGTGTACCGCGGTATCGTGGAGGAGTTGGCCAGGATAAATCCCCCTGCTGCGCTCGCGCTAGCGATAAACAGAAAACTGCCCTCCCTTGGTAGCGGTGCAAGCGCGGCGCTGGCACAATTGGTTAGCCTCGACAAATCAGCGGCTCTGCTGTCGTTCCTTGAAGGCTTTGCAGAGAAGGATGAGATGTCTACAGCGTCAGAAACGTGTGCAACGCAGGTGGCAATACGCTTGCGCAACAAGCTGTGGGAACTACGAGAGGCGAGTCCAACTGACCCCACAAAGGCGCTGCTGGGCGATTCACTCGCAGTGGCGTGCCGCTTCAACGTGGATCCCGGTGCGGTGTTTCCAACAGACGCCGGCGCAATCCAGCGCTGGAGCTCACAGTTTCTGCAGGATAGTATGTGGCCGATGGAGCGTGCGGCAGTCATCTCTGACATTGTGCGTCGCAAGCAGTTGATGCCGCGACGAGTGTCGCTCGATTGCCTCAGCAGCTGGTGTCTCAACGACCTGGAGCGACCCTGGCTCTCCGGATTGTTGGGCACCTGTCAGAATGAGGCGATGACGAACAGTCCGATGGAGTCGGTGTACCGCTCGGCGCTTGCGTGCGCGCTGAAAGAACCGAAGCGGTACCTGGTGGACAGCCGGCTGCTGCAGCAGTACGCGGCTTTGCTGAGGGGCGGTGACATGGAGCCCACACATCCCAGTTTCGCACACTTCATCGAGGAATGTGGAGAGTGCCACGACGACACCGAGAGGCCGGCAGAGCTGAGCTTTCTGCTGCAAGTGACACAGGGGACTGTCATGGATGCGTTGGTGGCGCTCGCCCCGCAGTGTTCCTACTGGCGCACACTACTCTCAATGAAACAGGATGGCAACGAGGCATTTGTCGCCCCTCAGGGGCATGTGCGTGTGACAGTGAAACTTCCGCGTGTGCACGAGTGTGTTGAGGCGGCGATGCGCACAGCGGGGGCATCCTCGTCCTTGTGCCTGTCAGTCCTCTACGAGGACGAAGACCTAGTTGTCTTTAATAAACCGCCGCATATGGCTACATCCCGACACGCCCTCAGCTGCACTCAACTGGGAGACGCGACGGTGACTGATATTGTCTCACTGGTGCTTGCGTCGCCAGAGCGTGGGCGCGTTGTGCGTGGTGTATTCCGCCAGGGCCAGGTACACCGCCTTGACACGGAGACAAGCGGTTGCCTCATCATGGCAAAAAGCGACTGCGCGGCGACCTCGCTGCGCCATCAGATGGGGACGAGTGCAGCGTATGCACAGAATAACAAAGTCTACCTCGCTCTGTGTGCGGTGCTGGAGCCAGATCTTTCACGTATCCCATTGCAAGGTGTGCTGCGGGACCCGTTAGACGTGAAAATCACCACGCGGTATCGTGTTGTGCGCTTCTTCCGGCAGTCACGTGTCGCCCTTGTGGAGTGCCGTATCCAGCAGGGTAAGAAGCATCAGATACGGCGTCACCTTGCAACAGCGGGGTTGCCGATTCTGCAGGATCTTGATCACGGTGGGGCGGCATGCTGTACGCCTGTCATTCAGCGTGTGGCTCTGCACGCCGCCGCTCTTACAATTGTGCACCCACGCACTGCTAACGTCATCACATTTGTTGCGCCGCTGACGGCGGACTTTCAGGAGGCCATCCGTCAACTCAAGTGAGACGCAGAGACTCCCACAACTCTCTCATTTCTGTTCTGCAGGGCTCCGCTCTCGGCGTTGATATATATATATATATATGCATGTGTGGGTGAGTAGGCGAGTGAGTGAAAGAAAGAGCGAAATATGGTCTGAGACTGCGTGTGCTTGTGTGTAACGGCTAATGGGGACTGGCTCGTGGCTGTATTTACGTGTGCCCTTTCCCCGCCAGACGGGCCCCCATGGTTGCTCATATCGGTAACCCTTTTCTCATCACTCTCCTCTATGTCACACATTAGCGTGTGGTCAAGCACAGCGCGTGTGAGGGAACATAAGCACAGAGCGGGAGAGCTGTGTGCCTGCGTGTGTGTGTGTGTGTGTGTAGGTGTGCGATGTGGTACACGCTTTTTGCGCGCACCCGATGGGAAGTGAGGCCGCCAAAGTCTCTGGGGGGTGCGAGACCGAATGCGCAGCCGCGCAGCATCCGGTGGGGCAGCGTGAGCGGCAGAAGTGCGGCGGCATCGCTGTTTGAGGCGCCGGTGCGGCCGCACGTGGAGGGGCGGCGCCGGTCAATGAATCAATGCGCGGCAAAGGGTCTGCCAGGTGGATTTGTGCGCGAGGGTCAGCCTCCAACGCTGCCGGAGTAACACCTGCTGCTCAGCCGCACACACACACACGCACTGTAGCAGTCTACCTTGAGCTGCCGTTTTTTTTTTCGGGTTGACGTAGTCGTTTCTCTCTTATGTTGGCCATTATCATTATTTATTATTATTATTTTCTGGGTGTGCTTTTATTTTTTCTTGCTGCTGCTCTCTCCATTGAACTAACGACCATGGTGGAATGGCGCGAAGGTGCTGAATGTTGGAAGCATGATACGTCTCGGAGAGTTTTTGCATGGTGCCACTTCGGTGCCTGGCACCCTTGCCTGTGTCGTCATGCCGTGGGTGTTGCTGCTGTTGTATCTCGCGTACTACTATTACAGGCGGCCACGGGAGCTGTCCGCGTCCGCCGTTGCCCCTTTTGTTCTTTTCATGGACTACTTAACCGATGGCGCAACGGCGGGATACGACAAGCCCCTCATGAGTCTCTTCCATCCCGAGCTGCTCGGCAACGTTGTGGAGCGCGGCTTGGTGCGGGCGATGGTGCGTTGTCTCTGTAAGCGTCTGGGGAAAGTGACGCACATTCCACGCGATACTGCCATGATTAAGAGTAAAGGCAATCAAGTCAACTTTGTTGCACTCGTGGACTTTCAGTGCGCCAAGCAGGTTAAGTGCCGTATGTCGTGGGTATGGTGCCCGCCGAAGGAGCTGCTGCACACAAAGACCGGCTTCATGCGACGTTTTTACGTCACCGGTTTTCGTGTGGAGCCGCAGCAAGGCGAGGACTTTGATGTGTTGGAGTTCCTTCGCACAGAGGACTTCGTGCCGTACGCGGAGCGTTTTGTGGAGGGGCTGTTCGAGCGGCCACCGCGGGCAGCGGTGGGGATGATGATACCGGCGCTGCAAAAGCGCTACGTGGATGACTTAGAGAAGCTGCAGCAAAGCATACAGCACGTTAGTGGGGCGGCCCCTGATGGGGCGGTGGAGGTGAACGCAACACTCATGAGCGAAGAGATCGTGCGGGCCCCTGCCTCAGCGGAGCCTGCTGCAGGTGCTGAGGACGGTGCGATGCAGGGGATTGAAATGCGCTTTCTCGTGAGCGGCGTCGGCCGCCGAGAAGTGGAAGTGACTGTGTCGCTCGTGTTCGCCGAACTTCGCTGCTTCGTGAACCGCTACGAGGTGCGTGCGAGGCCAGACACACGGGTGCAGGTGGTGCTTGACCATGACACTGGGGAAAAGACAATTGTGGCGTGAAGTCTGTCGCTCCTCTTGTTTACATTCTTTTTTTGTTGGTCACTTTGGCCTATTTTCCGTCCCTATGCAAAATTTGAGGTGAGCGGTGGTGTGTGGGCGGCATCATATTCACCACGACACCACATCGTGCACCCCGATGCGAATATTAGCTGAGATGCAAATGATTTTCTCGTTCTACATGTGTTTGTGCGTATGTGTCGGTGTGTGTGTGTGTCTGTCTGCATGTGGATATGTGTGTGCGTAAGTGAGTGTGAATCTCGTACGGTACGCCACCCTACACCGTGGTTGGATATTCTGCGTGCCGGCGCCGTGAGTCGTTTGCCCCCCAACCCACATGTTTCCCCTTCCTTCCCCATCTCTCTCTTTCGGTATTACTATTATTATTATTATCGTTGGTGCGGCGTTGTGTGTTCCTGGAAAGGGGGAGAAAAACTACAACAAATACACACGTACACTTTATAGTTGTGCTCAGCAACCGCACGCGTAGAAGGGAATATCACTTAGCGCTTTGGTTTTCGTAGCCTTTATTAGCTCCTCCCTCACCTTAGCTGCTTTCTCGATCGTCAAAGGTGGCAGTGAGGGGGAGGCACTTCTTGACCTTGAAACGGGCGCAGGGTACATAAAGCACTCTCGAACAGAGATAGACTGAAAGGCTTTGTGTGGACGCGGCTTTGGGAGGAGAAGGGGCCTGTCGAACGGGCGTCTCGCTGTTGTTCACTCATTTCCCAGAGCGAAAATTGCTATTGCTTCTGCCTGTCTTTAGGGTTGTTTCATTGTGGTGGTGGTGCTGTCGTCTCTTGAGCGGATTGCTGCTGTGGCTGCCTTGGTGTCTACGATTGCAGGAACACCACTTCACAGGCTGTCATAAGCCGGTATATTTAATTGGCAATCTCCTTACTGATCATTATCGCGCTTTTTGCCAGCAGAAAGCGCACCTTAGCTTCTACACATAAGTTCCCTCTTTCCCCCCCCCTCTCCCAAGTGTTCCTGTCACAACACCACTGTCTTGTGAGGCAACACACATACATCGGAAGAGGTAAGGCAAGACAGGACAGCGCTGGTCGAAGGCGTGTCTGTGTCTGTGTCTCTGTGTGTGTGCGTAACGGAGCGAGTTCGTGTGGAACCCGATAGGGTAAGAGGGAGAGAGAGAGAGAGATAGAGAGAGGGAAACGCCTAGCCTGAAACAACATCTGCGCTCCTCGGTGATCGATCCATCCTATTATTAATTAGTTTTCTCGTTTTCGCCTACATTGACTCCTTGATTGGGAGTTCTGTGCGAACGATTGTTTGAGAGCGACTTCGAGCAATTAAGAGCGGGCGAGAGAGAGAGAGAGAGCGAGTCAGCGTGTGGAAATAGCAAGCGGCCATGAGCCAAGATGCCACCTCGTTTTTCCGCGGCATCTCCGCGAAGATTAGTGCTGCGAAGCAGTCGTACAGCAGCAAGGTGCGTCGTCGCCGCGAAGAGGAAGAGGAGCCGCAGCAGCCCGTCCTCCCACCAACGCCGCCGCCGCCGCCGTCGTCGTCAACGATGCCTATGTCCGCCGTGTCGAGCGGTCTGATGGGGAGGAACGGTGGCAGCGGTGTCGTCTGCAGCAGCAGTAGTCTCTCCGTGCGGCAGGAACATGTGAATGGCACGCTTATGACACAGGTGCGGCAGACGGCGACAGCGACGTACAGCGACCCGATATTGTTGCCAGGTAGTGACGCTGACAGGCGTGGTAGCAACGATAGTAGCGGTCGCGGTGACAGCATGTCTAGTAGTAATAACAATAGTAGCAGCGCGATGAAACCAAAGGTTCATGTTAGCGCGGTAGTGGAGAGGACACGTAAGATACANGGGATGCCGAAGAACACGTCGCCTATTATTGCCAGAAATCATGCCTCTCTTTTGCCACCACCAATGGCACGTTACCGTGGGAAGAAGACACTCATTCTAGACCTGGATGAGACGCTCGTGCACAGCTCACTCGCGTTCCAACCAAAGCAGTACAACCTAGTGCTCAACCTGAGAGTGGAAAACAGCAACACAACGGTGTATGTTGCCTACCGCCCGCACCTCCACGACTTCATGCGAGCCGTGGCACCGCTATTCGAGGTGATTATCTTCACCGCGTCTGTGGCGATTTACTGCAACCCTTTAATGGACGCAGTAGACGCGGATGGCATCTTGGGCTCACTGCGGCTTTACCGCGAGCACTGTAGCATGCTGAATGGAGCGTATGTGAAGGATCTCTCACTGCTCGGACGGGATTTAGACCAGGTCGCCATTGTGGACAACAGTCCTGTAGCGTACCTCTTTCAGCAGCGCAACGCGATACCGATCACCTCGTGGTTTGATGACCTCAACGATAGCGAATTGATGCGTCTGATACCTATGCTGGAGGCCCTTGCCCAGGCACCTGATGTGTACGACGTTTTGGACAAGTATAACGCAGTGCTGCAGCTCCAGCAAGAGCAGATGCGACCTGATGACGGTCAGATGTGAGGACACAACGCTCGCCTACTTTTGTTTCAAATCGGTTTTCGGGGTGTTTTTGCGTGTCTGCACGGGAGGCTGCAAAGAGGTAAAAAAGGGGCAGTGTAGACCCGTGTATCTGTTTTTTGCGTGCGTGTGGCTCTGTGTGTCAATTGGCCGGTCGGCATTTTGCGTTTGTGTCTCTGTCTGTCCGTGTGTGTGTGTGTGTGTGGTGTGTGTGCTGTTAGAATACAGGGAAGAGAAAGTCCGGTGTGGGTGCTTGGGGGGCGGGAGGCGTTGATGTGTGTCTTTGCGACGGTAAAAAGGAACACTACCCTCCCTCTCACTCACTCACTCTCTCTCTCTCTCTATATATATATATATAGAGAGAGAGAGAGAGAGGTGATATGAAAAAAAAAGCATTCGATTGTTTCTTGCTTCGTTCGTAGTTCATATTGTTGAGGAGTGGCACATGAAATATGGGGGATTGCATGCGAGAGGGGAGCGCACACAATATATATATATATATATTTATATATGTGGAAGGGTGGGAAGTTGAAAGAGAGGGAGAGTGTGTCTGTGTGTATAGAGGGGTGCAAGCAGAATGGAAGTTGCCTGTCTTCTTTACTCCACGACTTCCTCTCTCTTTCGTGCTCGAACTTCACGCATCAATATGTGTTCGCAGGGGTGTGGTGTGAGTGTGTATCGCGTCACTCTGCTGACGTTCTGCGACCTCGACTTTGCATCTACCCCATGATGCGCCTTGTGTTTTTGATACGTTTTTATTTGTTGTCATTCCCCACCACGGACGAAAACTCTCCTCTGCGCAGCAGTTTTTGCGGGCTTCCTGTTCGCCCTCCCCCTTGTACCTGCTCTCAATATAAATATATATATATATATATATATGTACTTATACACACTTACACACACTGCTAAGATGTACACACAGAATGCTGCGTATGCTACCCTCTTGTCTTGTACGAAGAAAAGACCCCGCCATTTTTCGCTCGCGGGTGCAACGCGTCATGACCCGTTTCAGTCCCGCATTGCTGCGACAGCAGGACGACGTGTGCAGTGCTGCTGTGGCTGACTTCCTCCGCGGTAACGATCAATTCAAGCGGCTCGCGGCCAGCGAAGGGGAGGCCATCATTCAACGTGACAAGGAGGATAACGAGAAGCTTGCCGTTGGCATCGACATCGCAAAGGCAAAGGGCATCCTCAGTGGCAATCCGGACGTCGGCGAGGTGAAGCGCATCAACGTGGCGGGCCTGACGGCGCAACAGGTGACAGAGGAGGTGCTGCGGCATCTGCCAAGCAAGGAGGGTAACATCATCGTCATACAGGGGCTCTCCGGCACCGGCAAGGGTACGACGGTGGGAAAGCTGCAGAAGCTGCTGCCGCGCTGCGTCACGTGGAGCAACGGCAACGTGTTCCGCAGTTACACCTACCTCTGTGTCGAGGCGCTCAAAGGCGACGTGCGTCCTGAGCAGCTCACGCCCAAGCTGTTGAGCGCCGTGGAGAAGCAGGTGAAATTCGAGAAGCTCGACAGTGGCGAGTTCGACATCGTCCTCAATGGGAATGTGCGGGTTGGGGACATCCAGAACACGCTGCTCAAGACGCCCGAGATCAGCGCGGCAGTGCCCACTGTGGCGCAGCAGACACAGGGTGAGGTCATCCGCTTTGCGGCGGCGGCAGTGGCGCAGCTCAGCAGGGCTGGCCACAACGTTATTCTTGAGGGTCGCGCGCAGACGCTTGACCACATTCGCACACCGCTGCGCTTTGAACTCGTCATCGACGACGTCTCGCTGCTCGGCCAGCGTCGTGCGGCGCAGCGCGTCATGGCGAAGGCGGTATCTGACATGAAGGATCACCTCGACGGCGCGACGGAGGCACAGGTGGAGGCGGCCTTGTTGAAGGCAGCTGCAGAGATGTAAGTAGTGGCGGTTCCCCGGCTGTCCGGCGGTGCTCCTGTCATGGAGTGTACTGCGCAACAAGGGCAGAATGGAATAAACACTATATATATATGAAACAAAGAAAATCGGAATGGCCTTCTTGGTGAATGCATTCTTTTAAGGTTGCTATTCCTGCCTCCAATTATGAGGTTTTTATAGGTTAGATGTACTCTGCACGCAGACGCAAAACCGCACCTTTAATATATTCAGGTGTCGCTATACATGACCGATATGTGACTCTTGTATGAATGACGCTCTCCGGTTCACTTCTGTGTGCCTGCACCATCAAGCGTGCATGCCAGAAGCGATCGGCACAGCAGCAGTGGTGGTCTGAAGGAGAAGGAGTAGAGACTGACAACCGGCGGTCTTCAAGCGGTATACTGAGAAGACGAAAAGAAAAATAAATGAGATGTTTTAGCATGAGTAAAGAAATAAACCATTCCCATTGCAG